ATAAAGCCCCCATGCTGCCTTGGCAACTTGGGATTTCACTTTCCTGGTTTCATGCTCAGCCATAAATTAAAACAATTTTGGTTCTATTTTAAACAACCTTGTTATATGTTTGGATGGGGAAGGGCAGAAGCATCTTTCACATCAGCTCAGTCCAACAGGTTGACCAGAAGCATCAATTCTATATTTTGATTTCCTAGCACTACTTTCTTATCCTACCCAACACAATGACCAAGGGCACAGTCTTTAGAACTGCATAGACCAGGGTTTCGATTAGCAGTGCAATATTACTCAAGTTACATAACCTCTCTGAGTATCTTGCCTCATTTAATAAATGTGTATAATGACACTCTCACAGAATTTTCCTAAAGGATAAATGAAATTACATAAGAAAGCACTGGCACGTAGCATCAGGTACCACTTGTCCCACTATCATGTGGTGCCTTCTGTCATTTTGTCAGTCTTTGACTGCTTGGGCCCTACTAAGGGGACCCAACAATCTTGTTCCATTTCCTTTTGTTCCCTGGAGGGTCAACCTTTCTCTGGGTCTTTAGGACAGCATTCTATTGTGCTCGTGTGGCAACGTTTTCTTACCTGTGTGATCTGTTGTCTCTTATTTTCCATTGCTGACTCTGTCTAGAACAAAGAGAGTCTCTTCATACCAAGTGTCTGACAACACAGTGGAGAATGTACGCTCTGCTCTCAGTCATGGTACTGCCCCTTCTCAGATTTAAGGCATCAATGTGCAGGGCTCCGAGTGGAATTTCCATACTCTTGCAGGCACTGGACCAGGACAGCTCTGCTTCACCGAGGATGGTTCTCACCATCCCAATTGTCTCAATCGCTAATACTCTGAACTGATACAGCAAGCATACGCATAACACACACAAACATCACTGTTGCTAGCATGAATAATTTTCTCTATTCCCACTTGTCAGGGGGGTAATTATTGGGAATTTGAGGATGTAATGTGTCCCCTAGCTCCCCACCACTATGGGGAATTGTGTCTTGGAGGAATAGGAGAAATTGAGATAGTAGGAGAGGAAGAGCATCCTAGTTCTTGGTTGGTTGGACTCCTCATCTCTGAACCAGGGGCAGGCGGTAAGGGAGGGACAAATTACGTTTTTTTCAGGTTGGAAGGTTTTCTCTGTTTCAAGAAGCAAAGCATATATCAAGGGTTAGTTGTGATTCTCAGTTCTGCTCCATAGATCTCTTTTTATATTATGACAATAGGTTACCAACATTAGTTTTTAGCATGACAAACATTTATATTTTTCTGTGTATCATGTGTATTCAGTTATGAGAGGCTGCATCCAGGACCAGTAATCTGAAATGTTACTTGTAATTCAAAATGCCTTATAGAAATTAATGATTTTTATCCTAGCTGAATTATGTATTAAGGCCACAAGAAAATCAAGATAAAACGATGGAGTATATTTGAACATAACTGGGCCCAAAGTGGGCATCTAATAAATGTTGTTTGCATTGTATCTAAATATGGTATCATATTGCCAGTACCATCATTTCAGGGTCTCTATTCCTACAAGACAATGTAGAGGAAACCTCAATAAATTGGACCAGCTGCATCGCTAAGTTCTCTTTCTGTTCTACAGATATCACACAATTGCTCTCAGCTTCTGGCAAGATTATCTGTATTCTATCCTCCACACATGACTAGTCTATTCTGTCATCATGCTTCTCTGATTGTCACTGGCTCTGTTGAGAAAATGTGCTTCCCCTCCTCTCCAGTACCCCACATCTCTGGTCCATTTACATCTGACCCACAATATACTTCTTCCAGAAAAAAAATGTTCCTAATTAACTCATATGCCCATCCTGCCTGTGTGCAGCTCCCCTTAGAAGGCATTTATTTAGCTTAAGATACATTAATCTCCTTTATTAATATGGGCCTCTTAAGAGATGCATTTATATAATTTTAAGGTGTATGCCTGTTCTGATTGCCAATGACTGGAAGCTCATGGAAGGCAAGACCCACTTCCTTGCTGTGTTCTGTGACTCTTCCTCCTTTCTGGACAGAACTATCTGGTACTCTGCACACAATAACAATGAATATTGTTCATCACCTCGTGTACAGATCAGTGCTAGTGTTGTTTAAAGTTAAGATTACTGAGGACATTTTCTCCTGGATGCTAATTTATGCTAATGCAAGGAAAATCAAACAAGTTTTATTTGTTGTTGTTGCCCTTTAGTAATTCATTATAATATGAGCCTCACTGCCATCTGGGTATTTGTGACAGTCAGGTGGGGATTCAGAACCCCTTTCCAACCCAAATACTGAAGTGAGGGGAATCATCAACGTGCATTAATTATCACTCTGCTAGGAAAAGACTGGAGGGCAAAATTATTATTCTTAAGGCAAGGAAAAATGCAAAATGGATTGCACTTTAAAATTTGGTAATTTCAAATTACTATTTTGGTAAAATAGTAAAGCAGTGCTAACGTCACAAAATGGAAACTGAAAACTGGAATATGCTATGAAAAACACTGAAATACAAAAAGGAAGCATAAATTCTAGTATTAAGCAGAGCTGAGATGAAGACTACTCGCTCAACTGATCAACTAAGATCATTTGGTTAGGCGAGGCCATGTCCCACTGTGTGCCCATGGGTGACATCATTCATTGATCACAGCAGCACCTATTCCTGTCTTTCCATATGGGGTTTCAGAATTCTTCTCAGGTAGCCACCAGCCATAGACTGAACTTGTCCTATGTGATAGTTGGGATTCTCATTCAGCAAACATTCACGCCCCTCTCCTTCCTCTACAGGCAGAGTAAATTTCCCTGCCTCACTGATTTTGCACTTGGCCATATGACTTGCTCTGAGCAGTGGGATGTAATGTGAAGAGAGGCCTTGAGTACGCTTCCATGATTTGGCTTGGCTTTTTCGCTCTGGCATATACCATGAGAAGAACATGCCCCTGGTAGCCACTGCCTCTTAGCCTGGGTCTCATAACAAAATGTACATGGAGTACACTGGAACTCAACTTGTGGCCTGAAGCAGAACATATGAGATGAGGATATGAATGAGTTCTTGTCATTGTAAGTCACTGAGTTTTAGATTCATTTGGTATGCAGCCTAATTTTGGCAATAACTGATTAATACAGCTTTTTTCTTTTTTTTTTTGGTGAGGAAGATTAGCCCCAAGCCAACATCTGTGCCAATCTTCCTCTATTTTCGTATGTGAGACGCCTCCACAGCATGGCTGATGAGTGGAGCAGGTCCACGCCCAGGATCTGAACCCGCCAACTGGGGCTGCTGAAGTAGAGTGCGCAGATCTTTAACCACTTGGCCACAGTGCTGCTCCGTAATACAGCATTTTACATGAAACTTACTTGTTATCCCTTCCCTAAAAAGTGGTAAAGCATAAGAAAATGTCTAGGATAAAGAAGACACATCTTTCAGAAGTAAGAAAGAGCCAGTGTGAAGAAGAAATAGCCATATTGGAACTTTGAATCACAGTCGTAAAATTTTCAGATTTTAGTCTTATCCATAAACAAATCGAATTCCCCCAGTCTACAGATTAGGACAATGGGGTTGAGAGAAATTAAATGGTTTGGCAGGATCTGCATGTAAACTGAAATCTCTTTATGATTAATATTGCACTCTCTGTAGAAAGCAATACTGTGCTTCTAAGAGGACTGCATTCCTGTCCTTCTGAACCAGGGAGAATTGAGCTGCCAGGCAGGGTCAAGTGCAAGAAGCAGTAACCAGCCCCCACTGGCTTCCCGGCTGCCAGACTGCCCCACTTTATCCCTAAAGAGCTCATCTATAGGGACTCTGGCAAGACCAAGCACCCAGCCTGAGGTCCAGGCCATAGCTGAGAAATCTGACGAGGCATGAAGGCAATAAAAATAAGAAAACATGCCTCGTATAAAAAATCCACCTAATGGTTTGACCTCGGGTAAAGCATTTTGAGGCTGGAAAATAGTCTGGGCCACATATTCTTCAGGAAAGAGTCAAGGAAGGGGATGGTATCAGACACTCTTCAAGGTTGACAACACTCGGCAGAGGAAGCTGCCGCCTACAGATGGGGCTCCAGGGGCTTTAGAAAGATCACTCCCACCCCCATCAGGTTAATCAACATGCTTCATCCCCTTTGGGTCAATGCTCACCTAGTGCCAAGCAAAATTAGATATTGTTGTTACTGAAACGTCAGTCTGGAAGTCAGACTCTAGGACCTCGCTTCCTAGAACCTATCCGAGTACTTAGCACACAAGAAGCACCCAATAAATATTTTTCAAATGAATGAATGGACAAACACATAAATGAATGTTAAATATTTATGTTGTTGCTGATCTGACTTAGAGGTTTATATTCTAGTTGACTGACTAACAAAGGAATCCTAAACAAAAACACACAAATAGTAGTATGGTCAAGTTTAAATTCTGCAAACCTCTCATTCATTAATTCATTTCAGAAATTATTAACATTGCATGTCTGCTCTGTACAAGCAATGTGGGACTTCTATAGCTAGAGTAGCAAATCAAATAGATAAGGTCCCTGCCTTCAGGGAGCTGATGATAATTTAATGAGAGACAGAGCTCAAATATGCACAATCACGTGCATGCACACACATACAAATATAAAATAACTAAGAAAAAGAACAGGGAGCTATAGGAGAGTGTGGGAGTGAGTACACATTTTAGAGGATCAGAGAAGGTCCCTCAAGTAAATAGTCCCAAAAGGTCTCATTTGATACGTGTGGACTGGGAAAAAAACAGATATAAGGAAATACCATTTTTTCACAGAGCCAGCATCTGAAACGCAGCAGCTGACTAACACGTATGTATGTACAGTGAAGTGGGAGGCCCCCTTATTTTGACAGGTAGGCCCTAAGACCCCTATCTGCTCCCAGAAGTTCTCCAAACCATTATCGTGTCTAAGCTAAAACCCAACAAATCACTGGAATTAAACCTTTGAAATTTGATTACACATTACATGTATCATGTTTTTATAAAATACCTAGACATTCAAACATACCAAGCAAATAATCTGTATATGAAGACAAAAGATCCACAGTGGCAAATTCTGGAATATTTGATAATGCTCCTTGGCTAACTTTATCAGTTCGAGCATTCTTCTTCCCGATAAGCAAGTTAATTGCCAGCACAGCTTCACTGACCTAAAATTAATGCATAATTAGAATTCATAAATGTAAGCCTTTTAATTCATAGACTATCCATTAGGTAAGTAATGTGAAAAAGTGAATTCATAAAATAACATTCAACGTACATTGGAAGATAAAATAACAACAGCCTGAAAAACAACATGGGATCCGCGATATGTAGCGTATATCACAGTTGAACAAATCATAGCTGTTGACAACTTAATTAATGTATAAGTCACTTTAAATAGGCCACCTCACCTGGCTATGACAGATATTTGCCAAAATGTCAAATATGTGCACATGTGTATCTGCCAATATTTTCGTAAAAGAAAAGTTGAAACAAACAAAGCCAGGTCTGATGAATAGAGATTAAAAATAGTACATATGTTTACATATGTCCACTTCAGCAGCCCAGGGTTCGCCGGTTTGGATCCTAGGTGCGGACACAGCATCACTCGGCAAGCCATGCTGGCAGGCATCCCACATATAAAGTAGAGAAAGACGTGTGTGGATGTTGGCTCAGGGCCAGTCTTCCTCAGCAAAAAAAAAAGAGGAGGATTGGCGGCAGATTTTAGCTTAGGGCTAATCTTCCTCAAAAAATAAATTAATTAATTAATTAATTAAATAAAATACTACACATACAAAGAGCGTTTCTAATCTTCCCAAAGAAGAAACATTGGCACAAATCCCAAAAGATGTGAAATTTTCCTTTCTCTTATATATATATACATTGTGTTGCCTTAACAACTGGTAGGTAGACAGCACAGATATGACAGTAAAGAGAAAGACTAAATCAAAATCACACCGAGGCTGGTCTCATGACCGAGTGGTTAAGTTCACACACTTTCCTTCAGCAGCCCGGGGTTTCACCAGTTTGGATCCTGGGCGTGGACCTAGCACCACTCATCAGGCTATGCTGAGGTGGCGCCCCACATAGTAGAGCTAGAAGGACCTACAACTAGAATATACAATGATGCACTGGGGGGGCTTTGGGGAGAAGAAAAAAAAAGGAAAAAATCACACCAACCTGCGCAGCAGCTCTTATCACAATCCAGGCAAACGAACTGTACGTTTCAAATATATTTACTGTCGGTTCTTTAATAGAACTATGCCTTCTGGGAAAAGACTAAAAAATATGGCAAATGTTTAATGACAAAGATAGATAAAGATATAAAGTTGCATAATAGATTCTCTCATCTTCTGAAGATGACATTTTAGTAGAACACTATGTAGCCACTAAGAATAATAATGGACACATATCTATTGACGTGAAAAGACGTTCAAAGTAAACTGGGGAAAGAAAAGTGTAGGTTACAAAATAGTATGCAAAGTATGATTCCATTTTTAAAAAGATGTACATACATATATTCCCTGTATACACAGAGAAAATTACTAACTGTGGTTATCCAAGATTTTAAGGGTGGTTAAATAATTTTATTATTTTTTCTAATTTTCCATAATGAGCTTGCATTATTTGAATAACAATAAAATAAACACAAATGGCATTTTAAGTATATGGTACTTACCACTTTAATAGAGGATCTATAAATTGAATTTATTGTGTGTGAAGATGTCAGAAATAAGAATATTACTTAAAGGTTTTTGGTACATATTTGCTATCAGCTTTCTAACTAGGCAACTATTAAAGTAATGATGTAATCATAAAGTTCACACAACAACAAAAAGCAACCGTGAATGGAGATATTTTTTACCATGGATGTGCATATTTGTCCAGCTTTTAAACATAAGAAAGTGAATGCTAGAGAAATAAACAGAAACTCCACCAGCAACATAATACCTTGTCTGTATTACATAAGTATTAATAGTCAATTTTTAAGATTTAACTAATCTGGATAAAATTATTCAATTAAACTGCTTGGTTCTAATTTTTTGGTGCTCATATATTGGCCAATTTTTTAATCTTGAACAAAACTGCAGAATAAAACAAACAGTAACAAAAGTCTCCTTCTTATACTTCTGTCTGTAAGACTCCCAAGGAAAAGGCAGGCAATGAGTAGAGCTGATGTCAGAGCAGCAAATGCAATGTGCAAGTGTGGCCTGGCCTAGATCAAGTGTTAGGCTTGGAAGTACATGATACCTACAGAGATCTGCCTATGGGGCATTAAAGCAATACAGCCCTGTCCCAAGGTATAGAGATCCTAGTCATTAAGCTGTACTCATTAGCTGTAATCAAACCACTTGGGCTCTGTGGCAGCCACTGCCGCTTACTGGCTCTGTAAGCTTGGGCAATTTACCTACTTAAATTATGTAAATAAGATAATAGACATTAAATGAAGAACAAAGAATAACATTAAATAACTACAGTGTAAGAACAATTAGCAACACAGACATTCAAAAAAGAAAGAGCTCATTTTGAATTGAAAGGAAGGTTTCATTGAGGAGAGAGTTAAGCTCAGAATGAAAAAATTTGGACTGGGAAAAGAATACGGTGGGCATTTTTTTTTTCTTGTGGTTGTAATAGTTTACAACATTGTGAAATTTCAGTTGTACATTAATATTTGTCAGACACCGTATAAGTGTGCCCCTTCAGCCCTTGTGCCCACCCTCCACTCCCCTTCCTCCTGGTGACCACTAAATTGTTCCTTTTGTCCATAAGTTTGTTTACATTCCACATATGAGTGAAATTATACAGTGTTTGTCTTTCTCTGTAGAATATGGCGGGCATATTTTTAGATAGGAAAGGTGTTCGACATCACACAGGAGATTCTAGCCCATGAAAACAGGAAAGAAAAAGAAAAAAAGATGCATCCAGATTGAAAATGAAGAAGTAAAATTGTCTTTGTTTGCGGAGGACACATGATCCTCTACGTAGAAAATCCCAAGACACACACACACACACACGTACACCTGGAATTAATAAATATATTTAGCGAGGTCACATGATATAAAACTCAATACACATAAATCAACTGTATTTCCATGTACTAGTGATGAACAATTTGAAAATGAAATTAAGAAAAAATTCCATTCTCAATAACAATAAACAACAAAAATGTACGAGATTTGTACACTGAAAAGTAAACAACATTGCTGAGAGAAATAAATAAAGGAAGAGACAGTTCATATGACGAATTGGAAGATTCAGTATTGTTAAGATGTCAGTTGTCCCCAAATTCATCTACAGATTCAACACAATCTTTACCAAAATGTTGTTAGTGTTTTGCAGAAATTGACAAGTAGATCCTAAAATGCATATGAAAATGCAAAGGATTCAAAGTAGCCAAAACAATTTTGAAAAGGAAGAACACAGTTGGAGGACATGTACTTTCCAATTTCAAAAGTTACTAAAAGCTACAGTAACCCAGACAGTGGCTACTCACGGAAAGGTAGACTCAGAGATGAGTGAAATATGCTGGGAGTCTAGGAATAAATATTTACATTTGTGAGCAACTAATTTTTGACAAAGGTGCCAAGGCAATTCAATGAAGAAAAGATAGTCTTTTCAACAAATGGTGCTGGGACAATTACGTATCTATGTGTAAAAAGAATGCAGGGAAGGGGCAAAGCAAAATGGCGGGGTGAGCTGACCCAGGACTCTCTCCCCTCGAAACTACAACAAAGGATCAGAAAAACTGGATTTCAGCCAATAAACCTAATGCCAGACCATCAGAGACCTACAGCACCAAAACAATGGAGGACGGAGAGGCTGCAGCTGCCCTCCGAGGAGCTGGAACGGGGTAGGAGAGAACTTCGCTCCCTCCCCTAGAGACTGGAATCGCTGCCACGGGTGTGGGAAGGAGTGGGGTAGGGGCCGTGCAACCAGGGTATCTCCAGGACTCCCGCAGCTGGTGCAGTGGAAACCCGCTGACAGGGGAAAGTTTCCGTGTTTGGGGACCCCATGAAGCCAGACCCCTAGGAGACCAGAGAACCAGAGCTGATCTGTATCCAAATTGGCGCGTGAGACAAACTGCCCCTCCCCGTCCCGCAACCCACACTGGTGCCGCCATCTTGCCTGAAGGCGGAGGGCTCAGAATGCGTGGCTCTCGACCCCCATCTAGTGGCGACAGGCTGTAACTGCAACCAAATACTACCATAATGCACAAAAACTGCTCCTCTACCATTCAGCAATTTATAAAACCTCCAGAACAGAAGGAAAACAATAAAAACACAGAATTAAGTCCTGAGGACTTGGAAATAGGTAAACTAAGTGAAAATGAGTTCAGAGTAGCTATCATCAAAAAACTCAGTGAGGTAGAGGGAAAGATAGAGAAACAAGTCAATGAGTTCTGGAGTTACTTCACAAAAGAGATTGAAACTATAAAGAAGAATCAAACAGAATTACTAGAGATGAAAAATACTATGGACCAGATTAAACAGAATACGGATTCCCTGAATGCCCGGGTAGACACCACAGAGGAGCAAATTAGCATAATCGAAGATAGACAGGCTGAATGGCTCCAGACAGAGGAAAAAAGAGAACTAAGGATTAAAAAAAATGAGGAAAATAGCAGAGAAATAGCAGATTCAATGAGGAGAAAGAATTTAAGGATCATCCGAACTCCTGAGAATGTGGAAAAGGAAAATGGAGCAGAAAGTGTGCTTAATGAAATAATAGAAGAGAACTTCCCAAATCTAGGGATTGAGGGAGAAATGTGTGTGGAGGAAGATTTCAGATCTCCTAGATTTGTCAATGTAAAAAGACCTACTGCAAGGCATATAGTAGTAAAAATGGCAAAAATGAAAGACAAAGAAAGAATACTCAGGGCAGCAAGGCAGAAGAAAATAACCTACAAAGGAACTCCTATCAGACTTTCACTGGATTTCTCTACAGAAACCTTACAAGCTAGGAGAGAATGGAGTGACATATTAAAAACTTTAAAAGATAAAAATCTTCAGCCAAGAATACTCCATCCAGCAAAAATATCCTTCAGATATGAGGGAGAAATTAAATATTTTCCAGACAAACAAAAGTTAAGGGATTTTGTAACCAAAAGTCCTCCACTACAAGAAATCCTCAAGAAGGCCCTCATACCTGAAAAAAGAAAAAAAAAGGGAGAAAGGGGTCACAAATCACAGAGAAGGGAAACAGATAGATAGAACCAGAATAGGACAGCAAATATTCAACTATAGTATTAGGATAAAGGTAAGGAAACCACCAAAGCAAAGACGATCTTATCACCCTAACTACAAACTCATAACACGAGTTGGAATAAGAAATGAAAATAATAATTTAGGAGGGGAAGAGCAAAGGGACTAAATCAGTCTAGGCCAAGTAAGTAAGAGACCACCAGAGAATAGACTATATTATACACGAGATTCTAAATACAAACTTCAGGGTAGCCACTAAACTAAAAAACAGAACAGAGCCACAAAACATAAACAAGGAAAAATCTAAGAAACCCAGCATAAGAAATTGCAGTAGTCAATGGGTAGGCTAATACACACAGGACGAGAAACAAAGGTAATGCAGGAAAACCAGATAACGAGTGACAGATTGACAGCATTAAGTCCACATGCATCAATAATCACCCTCAATGTAAACGGATTGAACTTTCCAATAAAAAGACACAGAGTAGCAAAATGGGTTAAAGAACAAGATCCAACAATTTGGTGCCTCCAGGAAACACACCTCAGCCCCAAGGATAAACACAGGCTCAGAGTGAAGGGGTGGAAGACAATACTTCAAGCTAATAGCAAGCAAAAGAAAGCAGGTGTTGCAATACTTATATCAGACAAAACGGATTTCAAAATAAGGCAGGTAAAGAGAGACACAGAGGGACAATATATAATGCTCAAAGGGACACTTCATCAAGAAGAAATAACACTTATAAATATCTATGCACCCAACACAGGAGCACCAAAGTTCATAAAGCAACTATTAACAGACCTAAAGGAAGATGTTAAAAACAACACAATAATAGTAGGGGACCTCAACACCCCACTCACATCAATGGACAGATCATCCACACAGAAAATCAACAAGGAAATAGTGGAGCTAAATGAAAAACTAAAACAATTCGACTTAATAGACATTTATAGAACACTTCATCCTAAAACAGCAGAATACACATTCTTCTCAAGTGTGCATGGAACATTCTCAAGGATAGACCATATGTTGGGAAACAAGGCAAACCTCTACAAATTTAAAAAAATTGAAATAATAACAAGCATCTTCTCTGATTATAATGCTATAAGGCTAGAAATTAATTACAAGAAAAAAGCTGAGAAAGGCACAAGGATGTGGAGACTAAACAATACGCTACTGAACAAGCAATGGATCATTGAAGAAATTAAAGAAGAAATGAAAAAATACCTGGAGACAAATGAAAATGATATGCCATACCAACTCTTATGGGATACAGCAAAAGCTGTATTAAGAGGAAAATTCATCGCAATACAGACACATCTTAACAAACAAGAAAAATCCCAAATAAGCGATCTTAAACTACACCTAACTGAATTAGAGAAAGAAGAACAAACAAAGCCCAAAGTCACCAGGAGAGAAATAATAAAAATCAGAGCAGAAATAAACGCTATTGAAATGAAAAAGGTGGTAGAAAGGATCAATGAAACAAAGAGCTGATTCTTTGAGAAGATAAATAAAATTGACAAACCCCTAGCCAGACTTGCAAAGAAAAAAAGGGAGAAAGCTCAAATAAACAAAATCAGAAATGAAAGAGGAGAAATAACAACAGACTCTGCAGAAATACAACGGATTATAAGAGAATACTACGAAAAATTATATGCCAACAAAATGGATAACCTAGAGGAAATGGATAAATTCTTGGACTCCTACAATCTCCCAAAGCTCACTCAAGAAGAAGCAGACAATTTGAACAATCAATCACAAGGAAAGAGATTGAAACAGCAATCAAGAGCATCCCGAAGAATAAAACCCCAGGACCAGATGGCTTTCCTGGGGAATTCTACCAAACTTTCAGAGAGGATTTAATACCTATCCTTTTCAAGCTATTCCAAAAAATTAGGGAGGATGGAACACTTCCTAACACATTCTACGAAGCCAACATCATGCTGATACCAAAGCCTGACAAGGACACCATGAAAAAAGAGAACTACAGGCCAATATCACTGATGAACATAGATGCAAAAATTCTAAACAAAATTTTGGCAACCAGAATTCAGCAACTCATCAAAAGGATCATACATCATGATCAAGTGGGATTCATACCAGGGACACAGGGATGGTTCAACATCCGCAAATCAATCAACGTGATACACCACATCAACAAACTGAGGAATAAAAACCACATGATCATCTCAATAGATGCAGAGAAAGCATTGGACAAGATCCAACAGGCATTTATGATAAAAACTCTGAAGAAAATGGGCATAGAAGGGAACTACCTCAAGATAATAAAAGCCATATATGACAAACCCACAGCCAACATCATACTCAATGGGCAAAAACTGAGCGCCATCCCCCTGAAAACAGGAATGAGACAAGGATGCCCTCTATCACCACTCTTATTTAACATAGTACTGGAGGTCCTGGCCAGAGCAATTAGGCAAGAAAAATGAATAAAAGGAA